AAACCCAACCCACCAATGGCATTTAAACCAAACACACACACACACACACACACACACACACACACACATTGGGAAATGTTTAAACTGAGACAACTTCAACATTCAGCAGGGGTAAAAAAAGGAGAGAAAACAATTTACATGCAAATCAAATGTTATCATCTCAATCTCTTTATGCCACTTTTGCCTGGAAAACTGCATTCATATGCATAAAGGCATTCAATTACTGTAGCTGCRGCTCAACTTTCCACTCCTCAGCATTTTCTATTTGGAGAGGCAGACCCCATGTACATTTAATAGTTAGCCATTCTGCTCCTCGGCTCTGTGAGAGATCATAGCGAGTGTGTCTGTTGGAGGAGATGGCAGCATGTTTCAGTGCATGAAAAAAAGATTCGGCTCCAAAGTGACAGGCACTGGATATTGTTTAAGGGAAGGGAAAAAAACGTTAAATTTACTCTGCAACCACCCGCAGCAGTCCCAGCTCTGAAACATTAACTGTACTCTGGCTAAAGGGAAACTGATTTGGTAGATATTCCACAAAATCTTGTTTGTGAGCTATCCATCTGTCAGATGTAAAATCAAATGAAAAAGCAAATGAAAAAAATCCTTTAGTTTTTTGTCCCTTTTTTCTATAAAATCTACTCTGATATGTTATTATAAGTAATCTAGTTGTAAAGCAGAAACTTGAAATAATGTTAAACAGAGTTACAGGAAATACTAAATGTGGGCCTATAGACTTAAATAACTGACAGACAAACTGAAAAGGAGCAGAGAAAACAGTTGGGTAAAGCATGAAACGACCACCAGAGGGCAGCAAACAAACACATTAAAGCTTATTCTGAGACCTTTGAGTCATTTGTATAAAACCCAGTCTGTTTGACATTATTTGTAATTACCGTAATGTATTATTAAACAATACGTTTGATTTGGTTAGGCTTTCTGCAGTCAATAAATAAAAGTTATGTACCATTCAGTACAGAAAAGCAAGGTTGAGTCATTGTCTAACAGTAATTTTGGTTTTTATGATTAGATTTAYAGGTTAGTATCAACATTTTGATGTCAACACATTTTACTAGTATGTTTGTTGGCAGCTGGGTGTCACTTTGTTCCTTAAAACTGTACAACAATCAGCCCAAACGCTTTGACCACTGACAAGTCAAATGAAGAACACTGTTCATCCTCCAAAAGTGTTTCCCAAAGTTGGGGTCGGGACCCAAAGTGGGGTCCCGAAACATCAAGGTGGGGTCCTGAAAAGATTTTCAGAAATAATTACATTTTTGTCTTGGTTGTTAAAAAGGAGTGAGGTTAGTGTATTTTAAATGGACAAATGTAGTATAAAAATATTGTTACTATGCCCATGTTTTGTTGACCTGATAAAAATGTTTATCATCCAAAAATAACTGGGGGCACAGGTCTCTGCTGCTGTTATTTTGTGGGTCAAAAGCTGAAAAGTTTGGGAACTGGTGCACTTTGGTTCCCAAAGTTGGGCTTGGGTCATGAAGCACCTTGGATAATCTCCAGAAATTAATTTAAAGGGTAGTAAAATAATTGCTGACGTAATATTTCCCTATATC